AGGGGAAGTTAAGGCAAAAATTAAAATTTCACCAGTTGTAGTCTTCGGGGTGCTGAGTCGAATGGTCGTGGTCCGAGGAAGCTGAGACGCTCCCTTCCTACTTGAATCCCAATCGAACTCGCGCACTTCCACCGAAACTGGGTGACTGCGCCCTACTAGATGGGGATTTGTATGCAAAATGTCACTAAAAGCGCCATTTCGTTCTTATAAAAGCACGGATGACCGCGATTGGCCCATATGTTGTAGTCGTTGGGACGCTGAGTCGACTGGTTTTGGTCCGAAAAGGCTGCGATGCGGCGTTCCTCCTTTATTCCCAATCGAACATGGTTGAAGAAGCGGTCACGTGCTCCTGCGTACACCAGTCACCTGGTCACCGTGCCTGCAGGGTACAACTTACTAGCCTGTTTGACCTTTTTTGGGTGCAGTCCTGTCACCCGAGTTGAACTCGAGTTGAACCTTGGTGTGAAAGTTGTCACCTGCTGGCGTGGTGACCAGGTGATTTGGGCACCCAGGACCACGTGACCGCTTCTTCAACCATGTTCGATTGGGAATAAAGGAGGAACGCTGCATCGCAGCCTTTTCGGACCAAAACCAGTCGACTCAGCGTCCAAAAGACTACAACATATGGGCCAATGGCGGTCATCCGTGCTTTTATAAGAACGAAATGGCGCTTTTAGTGACATTTTGCATACAAATCCCCATCTAGTAGGGCGCAGTCACCCAGTTTCGGTGGAAGTGCGCGAGTTCGATTGGGATTCAAGTAGGAAGGGAGCGTCTCAGCTTCCTCGGACCAAGACCATTCGACTCAGCACCCCGAAGACTACAACTGGTGAAATTTTAATTTTTGCCTTAACTTCCCCTTTAAATTAAAACGAAACCGGGTGGAAAACCAAGAAATCATAACAAACAAAACAAACAAATAATAAAAGGTAAATGAAGCCCAATATCATCAGCATAGCCGAACCAAGGAACATGGCCCGTGCCACAGTCAAGAGTTCATCCGTAGAAGTCGGTAGCCATCAGCCAGTGTTGGTGCGTGAGGTACTGATGGACATCTTCTTTGAACGTGAGGAGCCGCTTCAAGCTGAGTGGAGTCCTTACAATTTCGCTTGGCAAGCCATTTCTTGGTCCGCTAGTATGATCTCGGTGGAACGCCTACACAACTGGTGTATTCCTCTGAGTGTGCTGGAGTTGTGAACCATAGCGGCCGTGTATATCATTTCCTGATCACCTTCGGATAGCTGCTTTGTGCACAGATTCAGCTCATCTGCAATTCTCTTCTCGGCAACAGCTCTTTTAAACATGCTTCAGTAGTTCCTTTTTCTTGCTGGTATTTTCCCCATAGTTCTATCAGCCGTAGCTCCACCTTGGTAGAAAAGACAACTCGAGGCATGATACCGGACTCTCCAAAAACTAACAAAAACTCTGTGCACTCGACACACCAAACCACTCGCTTCGACTTGCCTGAAAAGTAAAAGCCGAAATCCGCTTTCAAAGCCGCCTTCAAAGCCACTCCGGGAAGGCTTTGAACGTTGATGTGATTTTTCACTTTTCGCGCATGCTTCCATGCCTACTTCAAGGAACAAGACGCTTGTATACTTAGTTAGTTGAATGGGGTTTTGTACCGTGTACAGGCCGCGGTCACACGTGAAAAGCTTGCACCGCTTTTGCAGAGGCGAAAAGCGTAACTACCGCAGCCGCTTTGGCGGAACACACGATACAGCGGTCACACATGAAAAGCGTAACTACCGCAGCCGCTTTGGCGGAACACACGATGCAGCGGTCACACATGAAAATCGTAACTACGGCAGCCGCTTTGGCGGAACACACGATGCAGCGGTCACACATGAAAATCGTAACTACCGCAGCCGCTTTGGCGGAACACACGATGCAGCGGTCACACATGAAAATCGTAACTACGGCAGCCGCTTTGGCGGAACACACGATGCAGCGGTCACACATGAAAATCGTAACTACCGCAGCCGCTTTGGCGGAACACACGATGCAGCGGTCACACATGAAAATCGTAACTACCGCAGCCGCTTTGGCGGAACACACGATGCAGCGTTCACACATACATGGTAAACTACTGTGCTCCTCAATTATAGCTCAACGCTCCGCTTTGGCGGAGGGAATGCAAATGCAGCACGTCCTATGAAATTTTAGATGTTCTTGTCCGAATTTAAGCGACCTTTGCTCGTACAAGTAGAGCTATAGTGGATCGCTGACAGCCTGCTGAATGTCTCCTGTCAAGTACACTCGTGGATTTGGGGCACATTCACTGCGGCCCAGTACGGGTGTATTTGAAAATTAGTTTAGTTTACATCAATATCAAAATTTATTATAGTTGTATAGCAGGGTGTCGTTGACTCCTCCATGATCCATCATCGACCCAGCGACTGCGTGGATGCCGGCAATTGCAGTGAGGGTGTGGCAGAGTACTCTACTACTCCCTGGTTGCAGTCCTAATGTTGCATACTCTGGTGGACGTATTGCTTGGAGAGAGAAGGAGAGAGTTGGAGATCGTCCGTGATCGGGGCCAATGAGTTGGGAGACGGATTCCTTCACCAACTATCCACTCATAACGCAGGGGCAGATCCAGAGATCTCTACAGGGGGGTTCCGGTTGAACCAAAATTGAACAGCCAAAATATTATGGAATCAGATTGTATTGAAGTTGTGCGGTTGTAATTACGACAATCCGATTGTGTTAGTTGGAATCGCATGCTTTTAAAACAAACTACGGACACATATTCTTCCATCATCGACCACACCACAACTGCGCTCTCCACGTTGCCATAGCACACCACCACTGCACCATCGCTGGAGAGCGCAGTTGTGGTGTGGTGGACGATGGAAAACCTGTACAGGGCCAAATGCTGCTGCTTACCCTACATTGTACATATTTAGTATGGACACATAATCATAATTATACATGTTTGCAATCGACTGGCACACAGGTTCAGTGAGGGCTTGAAGACCCTTTCAACTTTTTTTGTAAAGATCGAATATGCAAGCCATGGGTTCGTTGAGAGCCAGAAATGCCGAAATGACAACTTTCCCTGTCCGTTTGTACTTTCGGAATTTTTTAGCATTTTTACGATGCGAAATGCTCTATAATCACAGGAGCATTGTCTTCCCTTGACAGAAACAACAACAGCGAAACAGTGTCGTCTCGACAATCCGTTCAAGGCCATCTAAAACACATCGCTGGCGCAGCACTCCGTTCCTGCGGAGTAACAACTAGTCACTACTGCATGCTGCAGCAGGTAGAGATTACTGACTCTCGGCTTTGCTTGGATGTCGGAGCCCTCATCTTCTGAGGAGCTTGAACTCTACGTGTACGATTCGAGGTTCGTTGAAGAGTGTCATCAATCGGAACATCCTTTCTCTTCCGGAAAAAAACTTGTCCAAGGAATACTGACCATACCCATCCAGAGCAGCAGTGAATGACAGCGCCAATGGAGGTAAAATTATTTGGATCGTTTCCAAAGATCAAAAAGGAAACAAGCTCCCAATGTTGTCTACACTACACGTCTACAGTGTCCGTTTGTAAATCACGGACATGAACGCCAGTAGACAGACTGCGTACACGGTACAGTATCGATCTACCGCATGCAGTGCACTGTACTCCTTGACTCAGTGACTGCAGTGTGATCGGACGGACGTCCTTTTGTGCACACATGATATTTTTCGTTATCACTCCCTTAGTATTGACTCACATAGATTTTTGCCATACCTAAGCAGTCAAATATTCCTGCATATTTCACTCCTTAGGGCTATATTGACTGCTTATATTTGACTGCTTAGGGGTTCCGCAGTTGAACGGTGCCTGTAGTGCAGCATTGTCACTGCATGAGTAGGTGGTGGTGCAACGGTTGTGCAATCATAAAACCGGGATTCATGAGGTAATCGTTCTGGAATTTGAAAAACGGACTGTTTGTCGTGATAAATCTAATATTGACTTCGTACTTGGTCAGTATAGGAAATAAAAACCTCGTAAAAGACCTCGGCTTCGCCTCGGTCTTTTACTCGGCTTTTATTTCCTATATTGACCTCGTACTCAGTCAATATTAGATACATATTTCTCAGCAGTACACTCTGCAAAATTTAGGGGGTTCCATGGAACCCCCGGAACCCCCCCCCCTGGATCCGCCACTGTAACGATGCAGTATTGTTTGCCGGATCTCCAGAACGTACAGTTCATTGGCAAAGAAGAACAATATGAAAACTCAATACCAAACGGCGACCAAACAACACCAGAACTCAGTGCAGAAGTAGGACACCAAACTCCAAAGCCATCACCATGCAGTATCGGCCAAAGCGGATCTGCGAAAGCGGAGCTTCCGCTCGCATTTTTTTGGCGTAGCGAAATCCAAACTTTCCGCCAGAGCGTAACTTAAGTCTCCGCCGTTGCCGAGGCAACGGTGGAAGCGTAAGTTACGCTTTAGCGGAACCGCCAAAAAAAGTGCATGTGTGACCGGGGCCTTAGCGGAGGCAAAAATCGTAACTACGGCAGCCGCTTTCGCGGAACACACGATGCAGCGGTCACACATACATATAGGGCACTTTCGATTACACGCATTTCCGTCAATTCTAGAATTAGGTATTGTTGATGCACAGTTCGATTACACAAAAAGTGACAAACTCCGTCGTTAGAATTGATTTTATCCAATTCCGTCAAATCCGTCAATTCTGAAGAGAGGGCGGAATTTCTCTAATTCTGGCGCCAGAATTGCACACTCGGTGTGTTACCGGTCTGGTCATGTGTCGTATCCGGTCGGCCCGGGGTTAGACTAGAGGCTGCGGTCGTGGACATAACTAACTTACTAAATCTTCTTACAAGGCCGTGCAGTGGTGGCCACTTGGAGAGAGAGAGTCCACCAACAGAATTACTCTTACGCACGCACTCACATATACCTAGACATACTCTCACACACACACTCAGGAATAATTATACAGACACGTACACTCACACCAGCGTTCAGGTTTACTCACATCTTCAACGAAGGCAACTTAGTTCAAGAGATGATATGAGAGCACAAGGCAAGAGAGACGAAAGCCGAAGCTTCCGCCTGAAGGCGGAAGGCAAGAGGGAGAGAAAGAGAGAGAGAGAGAGAGAGAGAGAGAGAGAGAGAGAGAGAGAGAGAGAGAGAAAGAGAGAGAGAGAGAGAGAGAAAGAAAGAGAGAGAGAAAGGCAATTGCCATAATATCTAACTACGGGCAGGAGGCTGATCCCCCCCCCCCCCCTACGACATAAAAGAAAAGGCGATTATGAATCCGTTTACGGGAGATAAATAAATAATTAGACACCTAAATAAGGCAGAATTGTCACGTAGAGGCCTGAAAGGCACGTGTCAATAGTATGGATACGACATATCCCCCCGCTTACACGGAAAAGAACACGTCCTTGTGTTATACGTAACTTAATAAATTAAACTAAGATTATGGCTAACAATTTTAACTTCACGAGTGCAGGTCAAATTGGAGTCCCTACCAAAATTGTTCCAAAACTAACTGTAATATCGAACACAACCAATCCAGTCAGTACCACTGAAGTCACTCATTAGTGGCACACAGGACTCCCAAACAGCTGGGGCGGATGGCGGGAACGCGTGGTTCGCCTTTCCATCACGCCAACTGGCGGAGCACTGTCAAATACCAGAGCGGTGTCCTCCTCGTCTCGGGCGGCGGTGGTTGTCCGTTGGCACCAATTTACTTCGGCCCTTGGTCTGAGGTTTCCTTTTCCAGCTCCTTAGGTAGGCGGTCAGCAAAATCCTCTGACAACAATGTAGTGGTGGATCCTGTATCAATCACAGCGTTTACTGGACATCCATTCACCACTCCAGGCACCAACATGTCCGCACGCTCACTCACATGTTCAAAGAAGACCGAACACATAGATCAGGCTATTGTTTTCTGTCGCAGTCTAAGTATTGCAGATACTGACTTCAACCCCACTGTTCCAGTTCCCGGGAAAATCTACAAAAGCGGATGCAAACGACCTTCCGTCTTTTACAGCACACCCTTGAAGCTGTGCTCTTCGTTAATAATGACAACTCTTGGAGTAAGTACTCCAACAGACTGAGAATCCGCAGAAAATGGCACTAGACTAGAGCCATTTCGTCGCTAAAGAGCGGTAAAAACCGCACTCTTCTGCTCTGCTCTTAATCCCCTGGGTTTTTTCTCTGACAATTTCCCAGGACATGGGGCATACTCCTCCAGCTCATTAAGTTCCAATGGGTCCCTTGGGATCATTGTGTTTTGACCATTATATTGGGGGTCTCGACGCCCAGAGCTTGGAAGATAATCAATCAGGCTTCCGGTAAATTCCGGGCATGGTCATCGCAGAATTAGAGCTATCCGATCTCTAAAGAGCGGTAATAGCATCAGCTATATCCCAGAGGCTAATTCATAGTTTTCTTGTAAGAAAATATGATTGAGACATCAGTAATTTGCAGCGAAGATACTTTTTGATTTGAGAATGGTGTGTGCAGGGATCTCCATGTAATGAAGTGGCTGCAGTGGAGTATGCATACCATAAGAAATCCTCTATTTCTATTCAACCAATAGAAACGTCTTTGCACAAACATACATAAAGATGTACTTGATAATCATATTGAAAAGACGTTTCTATCAGTTTTATAGAAATTGATGATTAGAAAACTGAAGTAACAAGCATGATTACCTAGGTGAAAGCAAAGCATATGGAGGGCACTGGGCTTTCCAGCCAATTGATTTGTAAACCAATTATTAATTATCTGAAGTTGTAATTTTCAGCGTGTATCAGGCGTGCACCAGCATACATGCCAGCAGTCATTCAGTCACTCTGACTGGCGGGGTACCAGCGTACATGCCAGCAGTCACTCTGACTGGCGGGGTATCAGCGTACATGCCAGCAGTCAATCTGACTGGCGGGGTATCAGCGTACATGCCAGCAGTTACTCTGACTGGCGGGGTACCAGCGTACATGCCAGCAGTCACTCTGACTGGCGGGGGTACCAGCGTACATGCCAGCAGTCACTCTGACTGGCGGGGTACCAGCATACATGCCAGCAGTTACTCTGACTGGCGGGGTACCAGCATACATGCCAGTCACTCTGACTGGCGGGGTACCAGCGTACGTGCCAGCAGTCACTCTGACTGGCGGGGTACCAGCGTACATGCCAGCAGTCACTCTGACTGGCGGGGTACCAGCGTACATGCCAGCAGTCACTCTGACTGGCGGGGTACCAGCGTACATGTCAGCAGTCACTCTGTCTGGCGGGGTACCAGCGTACATGCCAGCAGTCACTTTGACTGGCGGGGTCCAAAAATTGGTACTCAAAGGTGTCGCTAAACACCCTAAATACGACTCGGATTGCTGTTTTTGTGAAAGGCTTAGTGCGCATCTGGGCACGCATGAACCGCAAGCGTACCGCGTCCACGCACCAATTGTGAACACAGCTTAAGCTTCAATTTGTGGCCTCCTGCTTTGCTGCAATTGCGGCAGGGGTCGACGTCTTCACCAAGATTTGAGGCAGACCCTTCAGTACTCAACAAAACGCTGAACAAGAAGCGTGTTCAAATTCAGGCCATGAAACTTTGTTTTCAAGCAATGGATGCCTGCAGGTGTCAGGTGATGACGTCATACTAGCATTTTTACATTAGATTATAATGAGCAGTAGCAGTAGCAGTAGCAGCAGCAGAGAGATAGGGTAAGCAGTTCAGCACCTTCTTTCCTTGACAAGCACTGCGCTCATGTTGTTGCTGGTTTCAGGCCTGCTACCTTCGTAGCAACATGCACCACAGGCAGCGCATTTCAGGAATTTGAGAACACTTTGTTCTTGCAAAACTCAACTTCAGCATGCCAAATTCAAGAGATATACCAGGATTCGTATTCCTTTGTTTGCAAAAAAATCACGGTTTGCGTCAGACTCGGCTAGAGGGCGAGTTTTCCGCATCCGCATGAACGCCACCAACCCTTCAAGGATCAAGGCGCATATGCAGCTCCTAAAGCGGTGGGAGGGAATGTGGGCCGATATGAACTACAGAAAAAAGATTCGCACTCTGGGCGAAATATTGCGGAACGCGAAGAATTTGTTTGATGCGGAAGAGAGCTTCAAGACCACAACGGCTTTCGTAACAATTGCGTGGGAAGGGTCATACCAATGTTCGAATCCAGAAATCAGTGATTTCGATAGCCTGACTAAGACAATCAAGTCACAAACATTGCGATGTGCGAAGCGACAATTGTAATGACAAGTCGGAAGTACCTATATTTTTTTATTCAAACTGATAGAAACGTCTTTGCAATACAAAACCCGCTCCCGATAATAACATTTTTTAAGGGGGACATGTCCCCCAGACCCCCTCTTCCTCTTCGCCTCCTTTCGGTCATACAAATTTTTAGAACCTGGTAGCGCTCCAGCAAAGTGATCTGTCAGGGATTAGGACTGCCCTGAAAAGAGAACAAAATGTAAACCCCAACAGGACTGGAACCTGCGACCTTGCTTGTCATGAGCATAGCTCTAACTATCTAAGCTATGGCACTGTGCACAACCTAGAAAGCGCTGACAATTTTTTCACTAAAATTTCAGCTCAAAAAAACTTTCCTATCAATTTTGTTTTTCTCGTGAATGGTCACCGTTTCCGGTTGAAAGAAGTCCTTTCTTTGGAATTTGACGAAATTATTCATCGACTAATTTTCTCTGTTTGTAAAACACAAGGATTGAGAGTGAGTGGATATTGCAGCAGCAGAAATACCTTCGCGTTTGAATTGCCATTGCTGCGCTTCACTACGAACAATACAATACCATGCGGACAAATGTGAGCACACGACACGGAGTACTGTACATCAGCAGAAGCCTTTTCCAATAAATCGTTACGGGTTAGGGCTGCAGTACTACTAGAACTCAGCGCACACCTTCAGTGAAATGTTGGGGACTGAATGGGAGAATCTTACCTGACTTCAAGCCAGGGAGAAGCACCTGCTCCCGAAAGCGGCCGGATGGTTCTTGTCCGGCGTCTGCTATTCTGGTAACGTTGACCCGGACGATAGGTAGTCCCACAAATCTAAACGCCACCTGCCGATTGGCAGGTAATGAACGAAAGCGCTGAACTTCCGCAACCGGATTGCGACGGAGCGTCACTCAAACTCCCAGAAAATAACAATAATGAAGGGCCGCAAGCAGAACACGCATCCGCCCAGAACACCTACAGACGGCAACGAGCAAGAAAAAAACGATTCCGCATTGAACTGAAGCGCGGACGGTGCAGCAGTCCAAGATCCCATCTACACGTTCGCTGCACGCTCCAGCGGCCAGAGCTCTGTGGCTTCATTCATCTGTCTGATCTGGCAAAAGTTGTAGATTTACGCGTAGATTATGTACATGACTGTACAACATGACATCAGATTCTACTGCCTGCTCCACACTACAAAAGTACAGTGCTGCTCGTGTAGATCAACACGTACTAGTAGATGTACGAGTAGGTCTAAAATCATTGCGGGCCCATCTTTCGGCTGATACCACGCCAACTCCGAAATGAAGCCGACTGTCGACTGTGTCGCCAGAGGCGGACTAGCTGTTCAAGTGTCATCACATGCAACAGTGATCGATGTCGCCTGTACAGTGCACTATATTATTATTATGATTATGTAGACGCTAGGCTTGTCTGTTCACACACTTACACGTCACGTGGTACACAGCCGGGCTAGATCGTAGTACTAGTGGAAGCAAGGCAGGGCAGAGGAAATGAGATCCTTTTTTTTTACAGGCAGTACCTACAGCCAGTTCAAGGCCAAAGGCAAAGGCGTACAAAGGCTGTCATCCACAGCAGCACTCTACACAACACATCATCATCATGCAAGTACTAGTACATTTTACTCATTCATCCTGAGCCGCTCGCCACGTTTTTTAAAAAATTCGGCCAGTCGGCTACTACATGTGTCGTATCCGGTCGGCCCCGGGGTTGGCCCCCACGGCTGTGGTTTGACATGAACTAACTTACTAATAAACCTTCACATTACAAGGCCGTGCAGTGGTGGCCACATGGAGATAGTCCCACCAACAGAACTACTCTTACGCACGCACACACATATACCTAGACATACTCTCACACACACACACTCAGGCATATACAGACACGTACACTCAGAGCAGCGTTCAGGTTTACTCACATCTTCACAGGAGGGTACATGTAACTCAGTTCAAGAGAAGATAATGAAGAGCACAAGGCAAGACAGATAGAGAGAAAAGGAAGGTGATGGCAATACTATCCAATTGCGGCCATGGAAGTCCATGGCCACCAAATTGCTGGTCCCGCGTGCAATAGCGCATCAAACCGTAGTAAATATGTGTACAAACTGTTGCATAAAGAGCGGGAGCTAGGTGAGGAAATAACAGCGTATACCAAATAAGGAAGGCCCCAGGCCTTGCGTGAAGACATAAAATAAAGACGATTATGAACCCGTTTATGGGAGATAGATAAATAATTAGACACCTAAATAAGGCAGACTTGTCACGTAGAGGCCTACAAGGCACGTGTCAATAGTATGGATACGACATATCCCCCCGCTTACACGGAAAAGAACACGTCCTCGTGTTATAAGTAACGTTATAAATTAGACTAAGATTATGGCTAACAATTAAACTAAACGAGTGCAGGTCAAATTGGAGTTCTTATCAAAATCTGTTCAAAGACTAACTGTAATATCGAACACCACTAATCCAGTCAATACCACTGAAGTCACTTACTCGTGCCACACAGGACTCCCAAACAGCTGGGGCGGATGGCGGGAACGCGGAGTTCGCCTTTCCATCACGCCAACTGGCGGAGCACTGCCAAATACCCGAGCGGTGTCCCCCTCGTCTCGGGCGGCGGTATCAGTGGCATCAGGCTGGTAGGACGGAGTCAGGGTGGATGCCATGGGCTGCGGTGGGTCCGACTCATCTTGCTCGTGAACCTCCTGCAGCCGACTCGGTCGATGATGGCAACTTTTCAGCCGGTTGACATGCACTATCAGCCGACGTGCCGTGGGCTCAGACAGTTTGATGCGGTAGGTGACGGCTGAGAGCTTCTCCTCGACTAGGTACGGTCCGTCCCAAAGTCTAGCAAACTTGGCGGTTGTACCCGTCGGTATAGTTGGCACCAGAAGCCACACTGCGTCACCTGCTGCAAACGTCAAGGCCTTAGCGTAGCGATCACGGATATGCGCTTGATAACGGTGCACGTTGCCCAGGTGTTCCCGGACCTGTACATGAGCGTCCTCCAGGCGTCGGTGGAGAGCACTCACAAATTCCGGCTGTGACGATACTGTGGATGCTTCTCCTGGCGGTAATCCAGATGCCAAGTCTTGAGGTAGGCACAACTCTTGACCAAAGAGTAGATAGCTTGGACTGTAGCCGGTACTAGTCTGCGGCAACGAGCGGTATCCCATCAAGAAGGCTGGCAACTTGATGTCCCAATCTCGATGATTCCTGCAGACATAGTGTGCCAGGCTACGCTGAAGCGTTGGGTTGAATCTTTCAAGCAGACCATCACTCTGTGGATGGTACGCAGTTGTCCTGGTCTTATCTATGCCAAGCAGAAAGCAAACACTGCGAAACAAAGGGCCATCAAAGTTTTTGCCCTGATCGATATGCAACCGATCAGGAGCAATAGTCCACTACAACCAAAATATGGCGGTTCCCTTCCGCTGTCTCCGGTAAATTGGGGATCAAATCCATTGCTACTCGCTCAAAAGGATACCCCATCCAGGAAGACTGTGGTGGAGCGCCAGACCCTCTGCCTACGGGACGTTTCGACTGGCTACAGGAAGAACAACTTGCAACCCAATCTAAGACATCTTTCTTCATGGCTACCCAGTGAAATTGTTGCGTCAGTTTCTTCTGCAGGCGTGTAGAACCCGTATGTCCCCCCCCCCCTGGTCATAATACTCTTGCACAACCAAAGAACGTAAATGTCGGGGAACTACGACTTGCAAGATAGATGGCTTACTGGGGCAGGGGTCCTCCCAACGACGGCACAACACCCCCTCATGATGAACCAGCATTTCATGATTTTTCCACAAAATACGTACCTCAGGACTGCTACCCATCATGTCCTGCGGGCAAGGCGGAGAGTCCATACCTAGCCAGGACACTACTTGGGCGAGATCTCGGTCCTTCTCCTGTTCCGTTTCCCATCTTGACCACGGCCAGTTGAAACGGCGGATGAGGGGTGTGGGGATGTTGCCAGCGTTAGCGTGTGATCGACCTGCCCTGTACAATATGGTGAACTCACATTCAGACAAAAATTCCAGCCAGCGAGCCACAATCGCCGGTGGATGTTGAAAGTTAGCCAAATGTTCCAGAGAATGGTCGCTGTGCATATAACAAATTCAAATTTTCTACCAAGCAGGTACCAACGGAAATACTGCACAGCCCACACCAAGCCCAACAATGTTTTTTTGGTGGGGGTTAGACAATGGGAAGTAGCTATGTAGGGGTGTGAGCCCGCCTTTCGGCACCGGAAGAGGACCCACACCTTGATCTGGTGAGCTGCGTCGCGTTTGCTGTGGAGTGCTGTGCTGTGCAGTGGAGCTTGCATACCATAAGAAATCCTCTTTTTCTATGCAACTAATAGAAACGTCTTCGCAAAAAACATACATAAAGATGTACTTGATAATCATATTGAAAAGACGTTTCTATCAGTTTTATAGAAATTGATGATTAGGAAACTGAAGTTACAAGCTTGATGACCTAGGTGAAAGCAAAGCATAGGGAGGGCACTGGGCTTTCCAGCCAATTGATTTGTAAACCAATTATTATTTATCTGGATTTCCCAGAGGCTGAATCGAGTAGTTAGGGTGTATGGTGCTAGATTTTCATTTTTGTCATTTTTTCAAACATAACACGAGGTTTGATCCTGAACACACACTGACAGGTCAGGTACATTTTACGGAGTAATTATTATTATTCTGTGGTGCTAGCTTATCGGTTTTTTTTCTTCATTTTTCCAATTGTTCGCACACATAACGTGGTATTGGAACATGCACTCTCTCCTTGCATGCATTCCTTCCATACACTTCGCATACATACTCATCCTACCAACTTGCTTCACGTTATGATCCTTGCGTTGAAAGCCCTATTTCACTATTTGACCAGCTTCTTTACTGGTATGGTATTGTCGCACACCATGCATGCTGCATCAGTTATTTATTCACCTTCCCGTGGCCAGAGAATATAGGCCAATATGGAGGGAGGGGCGGCAGCCAGCCATGGTAGGGAAACAAAAACGAAGCAAAAATAAATAAATATCCCTTTATGTACTGATTTCCAGCACAGAATAAAACAGAATTTATATTTTCTGCACAATTTACACCTTCAACAGGCTACAACTTTGACCTCCTTCACTGCATTTCTACAATCTTAGGCTCTTTGGAAAGCTCCGGGCGAGAGCAACGCCAGCATACCAGACTCCATCAACTAGCTGCCACAAATCAGGCGCGGGATTACAGCAAAGTCCACCCCAAGCCAAATATGCGAGTAAATTCCACCATCAATGCCATTCCACTCTCCTCTATCACAGAAAGCTCTTTTCAAAGCGATTCAAACCTCAGCCAACAACGTCATTTTCATGTGCTCAGTTGGTCAAAGAGCACACAGATAAGGATTTCCCCCTAAAATGACAAAGAGATCGGATCAAAGTATTTCAATAACCTACGAGGAGACAATAGTCGTAAAATGGCAATGAATATAACTTAGGGCTGCCACTTACTCCGATTTTTGATCGCCTGTCCGACAAAGCAACCGATTTTGTTCCGCACAGAGGGACAACCGATTATTATATTTTGAGCGCTTTTTAGTCCAGTTGGCCATTTATTCATAATTGACATGGTTGTAGCACGTGTGCTGCACAGTTACAAATGTGTTCTGGGGCCCCAACAGCAAGCCATTTTCCTAAATATTTTCACCAAGGGGGCCGTGCCCCCTGCCCCCAAGCGGGGGACACCCCGGCACCCCGTCAGATTTTTCTCCCTCCAAGTGTGGCAGCCCTGTAACTAATTCTGCACTCATGAGCCATGACCATGTACATGTGAAATGTTGTTTTTCTGCTGAATGGTCACCGTTTCCGATTGGAAGAAGTCCTTCCTTTGGAATTTGACGAAATTATTCATCGACTAATTTTCTCTGCTTGTAAAGCACACGGATTGAGAGTGAGGGGATATTGCAGC